GGATGATAAACATCTTTTATTCAAAGCATAAACAGTACTAATCAGCAGTAATTGTAGAATTTAACAATTTATCTCCAGAAATTCCTGGGATTCTGGATTAAGAAGAAGAAATCTTAAACCCAGTGGGCCCAATTATCTCCTTTTCAAGTCCTCTTGCATGTGTTTGTGGCATCCTCTGATCTTTATTTTCAGACTTCTCATCTCTGTATCTGAAACCTAACTGATCCCTACTCATCCATCTAATCATCCTTCATTCTGCTGTCAGTTTATCAATTATGTTCCATTAAATATATAATTTTCCAAAACATTTTAAATAATTGCATGTAACTTAGATTTTAACAGTAGCAAAAAGAGTACAATAGACACATATACAGGACATATATGAATAGAATAAATTTGAAAGAAGGAAGTATGATCCCAAGCCTTATGTCTACCCATACAACTTTAGGCTCCACCATTGCCATTCCTACCTTGTGCCTTTGATGAAAGTAGAACAGTTCAATGAGATTATCTTATGACTATATAAAAAATTATTTTTCCACAGTGTAAGAAAAGTATTGTACAGTATTCTTCAGTTTGATATGTAGTTAATTATTATTTTAAAATATAATGATTGGATATAATGTATTTCAAAGATTTACTAAAAAGATGTTTTTAGTAAATCTAAAAACATTTTTAGTAGTTCCTTTTCTTTCAGATACAGATTGCTTTAAATTACCCACATTTCCTAACGCTATACTCAAAAACCCAAAGAAAGAATCATATAAGTCAGGAGAACAAGCGGAGTATGAATGTGAAAAAAGTTTCCAATTAGAGGGCTCAAATATTGTAAAGTGTTTCAAGAGCAAATGGGTAGGAAGTCCAATATGCAAAGGTATTTTGATTAAATTTAACATATTACTTTTAAGAATATCACAGACAATAAATACAGAATTCTTTGTCTCTAGCACTTTTAAAAGATAGGCATAGATAAGGGGTATTGCGTAGCCAATGGTTAAACTTACAGTCCAACGGTTCTCAGAGAGTGTCCCTGACATAACACCATCAGTGTTTACTGTGAAATTGTTAGACATACAAATTTATGGGTTCATCCCACACCTACTGGATCAGAAACTCTGGGGGAGGGACACCGAAGGTGTTTTAACAAGCCCCACAGACTATTGTAAGGATCCTTGGTGAGGCAGTGGGTAAGAGTTCAGCTGCTAGGCATATCATAAGAGGTTCAACACTCCCTAGCTGCTCCAGGAAGAAGATCTGACAGTCTGCTTCAAAAAAGGTGATATTCTTGGAAAGCCTATGGAGCAATTCTACTCTGTCCTATAGTATCACTGAGAGAGTACCTACTGCACAGCACCTGGTGTTTTTGTTTTTGATACAGAAATTTTGTGCACACTTCTGTTTGGGAACCACAGCTACAATTGTTTCACATCTACATGAAACCCTGAAAAATTGTGCGTTATTATTTAAGCATTTGCCAAATAAAATCAATACAGTTGTTTTCATGAATTATAAATTCATTTTCCATTATTTTCTTGCATCTCCTTTTTTGCATACTTTCAGTTAATCATCTTCCTCTTTAATTTTGGTATTATTCAAACTGTGCTCTTAATTCTTGATTTGGTCTTTAAGTAAGTTCATATCTATGATATTTTTCTAAGGGGCTAAAATTTTAATCAAAAACGATAAATGCAAATCAAAATCTGATGTCATATATGTCTTTTTTTCTGATTTTTATGGTTTCTAAATTCATATGGGATTTATAACATATGATAGTAATATTACTAAATTCCAAGATAGTCCATGACAACTCTCATTTTCACTAGTTTCAAAAGGAAAGAAAACAGTGTGTCTTCTAATGAACATAGATTAGAGATTTAAGCAAATGAAGACATAATGTTGCTGTATATTTTCAAACTTGTTTTCCTCAGTCTTACATGTAAATTTTTTATATTAGCAAACTTTATCATAATAAATAGTTTACTGGTGTTTGACCTACTTTGAAATATGCTTAGAATCTCAATTATTGATTTGGAACTCAAAATGAACACTTATAGGACACTTTTTATCTTTTCTTTCTATTTAGATATTTTCTGTGGGAATCCACCCATAGTGAAAAATGCTAAAATTATCTCAGAACAGATGACTAGGTATCCACATGAAGAGAGAGTACGTTATGAATGTAATGAGCCTTACTACCTGTATGGAGAGGCAGAAGTGATGTGTCTGAGAGGAACCTGGACAGAACCACCTCAGTGCAAAGGTAGAATATCTTTTTTTTCTAAAAATTTTGGAGAGATAATAGTGGTGATATGTTTTGATCAAAGCATATAGTAAAATAGTGCTTGTAGAATATATTATTTCAAATACAAATAAAATTATAATGTAAAAACCCTGATTCTTTTTCTAGACTGAGTCAGGTAATATGGTTGATTTTGAACTTCAAAAGGTTTGCCCCTATTAAAAGAATAGTTGGACTCTCTTATCTTCAGCAGGAAGACACTGAAATTATTTCCTGAAGAATAAATGTGTAAACCATACATCACATAAGTTTGACAGCTCCAGGAGTAGTGGAATAGACAGATAGGTAGTAAATGCAGAATATGACACAAATTTGGACATCTTCAGTGGGTAGATCATAATTAAAATATGTGACTAACTGTATTGGCTCTCTAGTGCTGCTATAATAGAAATACTACAAATGGATGCCTTTAAAAAAATGGGGATTTATTCTTTCATAGTTTAGGAAGCTAGAAGGCCAAGTTCAAAGCACCATGTCTAGGGGCTGGGTAAAGGCCACTAGACCTTGAGCTTCAGCTCTGCCTCCTGTTCCAGACCCACTAGAGCTGGAGGCTTTTTCTGACTCATACAACTTCTGGCTACTGAGGCTGATGAACACAAGTTCAACAGGTAAAATAACACAGTCCCAAGATTAGCAGATAATACGACAGGCCACTAGTTGAGTTCCAGGAATCAGCAAGCAGCATGGCAGGTCACTGAGATGAAGACTCAGCTAAATGCAGGACGCAAATATGCCAAAACTAGAGACCTTTCTCAAAGCTTTTCCTTATGTACTGGAAGCAGACTACACTCAAAGGCAGCAACTTAGCTGATTACAGATGATTCTACTGTGGAGGTGATTACAGTCTTATCATGGGGAGTACTACATCCAACTGTCCAGCCACTCAAAACCATGGCCCAGCCAAGTTAACACATAACTTTAACTACCACACCAACTGCACTTATTTAGGGAATAAGTGTTTCCAGGAACAGAAGCCTGAGAAATTCGTCATGACCATGCCAACAGCTATATCTTATGAGATAAGAGGAGTCAGTAATGGAGATTATTATTTATTTATTTTAATAATGTTTGGCTGTTTTTTTTTTTTCCCCCCATTCTAACTGGGTGGATGACATAGGATTCAAGTTGACTACATCACTGGAAAGAGATGATGGAGAAGCTCAATATAATCAGTCAGAACAAGCTGAGGGAGTAATTGTGCAACAGACCACCAATGGCTAGATGCAAATTCAAGTTGAAGCTTAAGAAAATACTAAAATTAAAAAAAAAGTCCATGAGAACCAAAGTATGACCTTCAGTATGCCCCACCTGATTTTAGAGACCATCTCAAAAATAAATATGCAATATATATGTGATAAATATGCAATGAACACTAATGACTGAAGACCAGACAACTTGTTAAATGACATCAAGAACATCATACATAAAGAAAGGAAAAGATTATTAAAAAGACAGGAAAACATGAAAATGGATGTCAGAAGTGACTGTGAAACTTGCCATTGAACATAATGTAAGTAAAGCAAAAGGAAGAAATGATGAAGGAAAAGAGCTGAATAGAAGATTTCAAAGGGCACACGAGAAGACTAAGTAAAGTATGATAAAATGTGCAAAGACCCAGAGTTAGAAAATCAAAAGGGAAAAGCATGGGTAGTTTTTTCTAGCTGAAAGAATTGAAGAAAACAATCCAGCCTTCAGTTGCGATATTGAAGGATGCTATGGGCAAAGGAGACCAGAATAGATTGAGAAGTCAGCTGCAGGGATCCAGGTAAGGGTGGTTGGAGAGGTCCAACAGCTAAGGGAGACAAACTTGTCTGTCAGTTTGTCCTACTGTGGTGACGTGTTGCTGTGAGTCTTGAGGTTGTGTCACTGGTGTTTCAAACCCAGTGAGGTGCACATGATGCACGGATATCAGCCCAGATTGCAGACTGAGACAGACTAGGAAGAAGGAAGAAGCCATCCACTTCTAAAGAATTGGCCAGGCAAAACCTTATGAATAGCAGAGAAACAGTGTCTGATACATTACTGCACAACTTTATGAATAGTCTGGAAACATTGTCCAATATAGAGGAGGAAGATAAGTCACTTAGCTTAGAAAACACTCAAAGTAGGACTGGGCAAGAGCTGCATAATCAGAGTAAAATCAGCTTCACTCATATGGGTAAGGTAAAGCTTTCAAGACTTTCATTTGCAGACGTGGCACCACTCAAATTGAGGAGAAGCAGTGGCAAACATGCATTATTAATCAGAACATGAAATGTACAAAGTATGAATTTAGAAAAATTGGAACTTGTCAAAAATGAAATGGAATGCATAAATATTGATATCCTAGGCATTAGTGAGCTAAAAAGGACTGGTTTTCGCCATTTTGAATCAGACAACAATATGATCTACTCTGCCTGGGAACAACAGTTTAAAGAGGAATGGCGTGGCATTCATCATCATAAAGGATGTTTCAAAATCTGTCCTGAAGTACAATGC